CTTGAAGTCACGCTCTCGTCAAGTCGTGCAATTGCTAACGTGCGCCTCTCGCCCGAGAAAGCCTCACGATGGAGCGTAGGAGAGTAGAAGAGAGCGAGGAGGAGAGAGGATACGCTGCCGTTTCAAGACTTTGAAGAAACCCTTTCTCTCGTTTGAGTGCGCATCTTTCGCGAGTTTAATGAGCCTCGCGGCCGTTTTATTTCGCATCCCCAACGCAGGCAGAGTCGCTGTAAAAAAGAAAAATGCATCGTCCATTATCGGACTTTTACGATCCCCTTAATTACGTTTTCGTGACGCGGTCTCGCAACGGCAGTTTATCATCAATCGCGTTATTAATCGCTACAACGTAGCGTCGTAATCTAGGAAAGGCCGGAAACAATTGTTTCGCGGTTGAACGTGTACGCGCAACAAGTCGCGTCCGATAAGTCATAGAGCCAGGGCGGGGGTGTCTATGTCGTTCCCGGTAATAAACATATCTGTATCGAGATGGTGCGCGTACATGTGGACGGCCACGACCACACGCGCACACATACGCGCGTGTGGAGCGTGTGGTATAGAATTTCCAATATTGGATACACTCGCCGCTGTACGAAGGCGGACGATAGCTATCGGGATATCTTCGCCGTACGATCGATGGCGCGGTAATTGGCGGCTTTTGTCTTCCAAAACGCGCGGAGTCGCGCGTATGTTTCACATAATGCCTTTTAATTAGCCGTTGGCGAGAGAGAGACAGAGAGGGGGGGGAGGAAGAAAGAGAGGGAGAGAGAGAGAGAGAGAGAGAGAGAGGGAGAGTTGTTGCGAGCTTAGAATATATATAAATGGAAGGGGAATTGCCTATACTTCACATGGAACGATTCTGTGTCTAACACCTATGTAAGAGAGAAAGTACCATTTGTCTGCAGTGCGCATGCTCCGATATCGTCGTTGCTATGGTCACATATCCAGCTGATACAGCAAAGTAATACACACAATGAGGTGATCCTTCGTCTTTCGAAAATCTATTGAGAATAAGCAATATTAATATTACATTTGCAATATGAATAAATATCATGAACTACTTAAGTTTTATCACATAATTAATTGTACACACAAAATGTTACATGTATTTATTTACCTATAATATACTGATTTATCTCAGAACAACTGATTTACCCAACTGATTTACACAACAAGCAATATAATTCAGACATTTTCTTCATTAAATTATAATTTTTACCAATTTAGGCATTTTATTTAATAGATTATAATTTTTAGTTGAGTTTGGCTGGATTAACCAATTTTTGGTAAAATATGAATGATTCAGAAATTTTTTCTGAAGTTACTAGAATTTAGTCTAAATTATCAAAATTTCTAATTAACTCAAATAGAATTCTGGTTTCATCCAAAATTCTTAGATTCTTTATATTTTACTAAAAATTGATTAATCCAACTAAATCTTTTGTCTTGTGTTTGTTTGAAGAAAATCTGTTCATCAAACATATATATACTGAACTTTAAAACTAGCGGACTCCTTGCATTTGTCGGTCAAGAGAGAGCGAACAGAAGTGGGCGGTGGAGAGATCAGTGAATGAGACGAACCTCATTATCGGATCACAAAGTGGTCGGCAGGATATGGAGGCCGGGCAGGACAGAGTTCCGAGCAGGAAAAATGATACCTCCCATGCTGGAAAATAAAATGAGTCATTCAATGAAGTGGTCGTAGCGTCGACGTAACGAGTCGGAGTAAAAGCGAGGTATAAGAGAGACTGCGAGCATCTCACACCTTCTCCCGTCTCACCCGGCCCCGTCATCCCATGCTTCATATAGTGGTAGAGTAGTCCCCGTACTCTCTCCCCAGCGATCCTCCTCCCGCTGCCTCTCCATCTAGCAAATGGATGGGATAAATTGCGCTCTTGGCACTTGACTTTTAAACCCGCTAGGCGGATCTGTCCAACTATACTTACTTTTAAATGTCTCTTCCTCTTCTCAGCCGGGGGTTTCAGCAGCGTCGCCGACGACGACGTCGCGCTGACGACGCGGGTAATGACGCGACGCCTCACGGATTAAGCCGTTCGAGACTTACGAGCTGGTGATTATATGACGCCCGTGCGATCATCGGATGGCCAATTACGCCTCCGTAAACGGCCGTCGTTGCCTGCAAACTCGTCGACTCGCGGCGGTCACGCGGTGGGTAACGTCCTCTCGTAGAACTGGGATTAGACACCATCGTGCGGGAGATAATTGCTCGTATTGTCGTAGTAAAGATTTCATGATATCTTTCGAAACGGAATGGGCGAACGGGGTCAGAGCGGTATCTCTCATCCGTTCGATAGTATCCTCGCGAAAAGATCGTTATGTCGCGATACATTGTACACGTACGCGAATACAGATACATATACTAATTAACGAATGTCACAGATACTTATTGTCACGTATATTTACGTTTATTCGTTTAGTTTGATTTTTTCTTCGTAAATAGCTGATTGCTTTATCGACGAATAATTTCTTCCGTTGAATTCAATAAAATCAAATTTTACACTAAAATTGAAACAAACTAAATTACTTGGATCTTTATTTACTCTTCTGTATCGAATACGCAGCAATGTATGACGTCAAGCAATGGAGCGAATCGTAATATCTTTTGAACTTTAAACTACGAGACAAAAGATTAAAAAACCTGGAAGGTTAAAGGAAATAGCGGCTGTGAAATAAATAATCGCGGCAAATAGACGGATAACAAGCTTCGTACTATAAGAGGGATTTACATGTGATTCAGATTTAAGTCGGAAATTTATCTCTTAGCGGGTGATGATGATACTGATGATGTTGATGATAATGATGATGACGATGGAGCACGTATAGATGTATTTCATTTTGTCTATGATATAACTACATTTGGATTCGCAGAGAGTAACAAGGAGTTTACTTTGTGTAGAGTTTTCCGGAAAGTAATCTTAAAATTATTCAGTAAGAGTGTATGGCTATTGCAACAAGGAAACAATTAAAAATATAGAAAATATTTTTTGCGGATAAAAGAGTTACAACAAGAGTTATAACAAGAGTTTACGAACGTTATCGTCTTGAAAACAGAGGAGCAGATTGAATATACAGGAGAAATGAACAAAAATATGAAAGAATTCGCGAAAAGGGTAATACATGAATATCCCTTCGAAACGAAATGGAAAAGTGCTCATGTCACTTTTTTTCTCATTTCTTTTTCACTGTTCAATTTTGACAGGGGGTCAGGGTTGCCGAAGGATCGCAGACTCGGTAAACGTACGCATGCCGAGACAATTTCATCGGACGGGCCGATTCGTAATTCGCGACACGTTACCGTGACGTGACGGACGCTTAAAGAACGCTATTGTCCCGCCACGGTTGGTCCGCGAGCGAGGTAGGATTTAATAATGTAGAGAGGCGAGCTAGACGTTGTGTACATATCGGGATTGGTACACACAGCTTTCGGGTGTCTTCAATATCTGAGCAGCTCAGGAACGGCATTGTCTAGGATAGCGACGACGACGTCGCGGAGCCGCTCGTTGCGCTTTATAACTGTCTCGACCGATGAGGACGATGACAAGCATTATGCACCGGATAACGTCCGCTCACTGGCCGATACGCACGCGCCAAGGAAACGCGTTTCTTCGCGGGTGACTTTATCCTGTCGTGCGAATTCGAAACTTGGTCGTGAAAAACATTTCGCCTTTTGATACGAGCGAAAGAGAAAAGGATGAAATACATAAAACTGCGGCGAGAGGGGAGGGAGGAGGAGACTGCGAATCTGCTAGTTCAGTGTTGGTTGAGTCGAAAGACGCATTTGGACGGACTCGCGAAATACGTCGGAGGAAGCTCTCGAGAATGCAGAACGTTGCCTGGATATCTTTATAACACCTTTCGGGCGCGGCGCGCTGACTGAAAAGAATTTTACGGACTTCGATCAATCATGATCGCTGCGCGAGCGGCAATTGAAAAGCACTCCGATAAATTCGAGAACGCGCGCGGAAAGTAGTGCAATTTTTCAACGGGTGCGATTCTCCTTCTCGGCGGGGAGGCGTCGCGCTCCTCTCCCGGCCGGGTTAAGCCGGCCAACTAATTTGCGGGCGTATATAGCGTGACGGCGAAATTTGACGAAGAAAAATGAGGATGCGTCGCGAGACGGGGTCGAAGGAATGCTCATGTCCTCGTCGTTCTCGACGCCGTGGCATCCACGGTGTCGAGCGTCGGCGCGGCCGACGAGAACGAGTCCTATTCCAATTCCAGTGAGTTAATTGGAATTGTTTGCTGCAGACACCGCGAGCCGCTTGCCCTCGCGCGCCGTTTTGAATCCTATACCCCCGAGCAGCGCCTTCCTTTGTCGCCGGTCCCTCCCCCTTCCTTCCCGGTCGTCGCTGTCGTGACTTCAGCATGAAACGCACACCAGCAACGCGGCGCCATCGCGCTCATGCATTTCTTGACATCTCTTGAGAGGAATTAATTTCTACCATCCACATGCGCCTCCCGGTGAAGGGCATCCCGTTAAAACACTCGCCGCCGTTCATTCAAATTCTACCCGTTCGAGCGAGCTTGCTACTGAAAAAAAGCACGCAAAATCTTTGACGCGTTTGTGGCAAATAAAAATTCGCTCGCCGGAAAGAAAGCCTTGTAGTAGTTAAAGCCAGCCATGTCAAATTTGTGACGTTAAAGTGAGCAATGACATATGTTGATAAAAATTGCGTGCTATTTCTAAATAAAGATAAATATGAACAAAAGTGTACTTGAGATTGCTTGAGCGCAATAAAGTAGTACTTGTTCAAAATAGTTCAAAAGACATCTCTTTTTCCTGGTGATCAATAAATAGTCGTATAATAAATGGTGAAATGATGAAATGAGTCTGTTTTGTCTGCCTCATTTCATCATTTGTTACGCTACTATTTATTAATCGTCAGGAAAAAGGGAATTTATTAATTGTAATAACTTTTCGGACAATTTTACAAGTATGCTCAAGAAGTTTCAAGTGCTTTTTCGTCCATATTTATCTTTATTTAGAAATGATACACAATTTTCGTCAGCATATGTCATTACTTGCTTCTGACATCACAAATTTGACATAGATGGCGAGGTATAAGGAGCCTTAACAAGTGCATTTGAGCGTTTCAATGGTAATATTTGATAATTTATATCAAACATGATAATAATTACTACAAAATCGTTTAGTGATGATCCTAGGCAGAACAAAAAATCACGAAGACATGATTCGATTTTTTGTCTGCTTTAGACAAGATAATATATATTTATTTGTAATGAATAAAGTTCCCCGAGATAAAGCGGCTTATCATAAAGAGAGTTTTTAGAAATATATATTATATTTCTTTAAATAATATCACAAATATCTTCAGTGATGTAGACGTATAAATTTTTCAAGAATTCCAAGGCGAAAGTAATTTCGATACCCTCTTGTCTCGCCCAGAAAATATGTTGTTGTAAAACAGTATTCTTCTCGACGGTATCGCAGAGATCCACAAAGTCTTTGGACTTGAGCGTTTGTAGAAATCTGCGGAAGCTACCGGAATACTTCGCTTTTCGCTGCAGCAATTTATGAAGATGATCCTTCGGCATAGTGTTTAGGATTTTCTGTATCATCACGCTCAGACCACTTGTGGCAATGCTCGGATCCGACTTAATGAAGGGGGCCTTCGTTTTCCAGATATCTTGAATTTTGGCGTGCCAGTTATTGATTTCCAAACCGTTTTCCGCCAAGAAGCTCGTGAGACGAGCTAGTTGTGGCATTCGTTGGAATTCCCTGGCAATAAACTTTTTCTGATCTTCGATGAAGCTCACTGTATCCTCGATCTGGGGATCGTGCTTCAGATAATTGTCAACAATCGATTGTATCTCGGTTAGAGGAATGAGCTGCAGAATATCTTTAAAATCCTCTTCCAGCGAGCTATTGTCCTTTGATAAAGTGATATGCGACGAGGCGATACCGTCCACTACAGAGCTGAGGCGATAAGCTACGACGCTGAAAAGAACGAGTGACATGGCGGCTATTGCACCCATTATCGTGAGTGACCCGTTCATCATCACAAGGAGGGGCGTGGAGGTCTTTCATCTGGACGAAATTATGTAACATATCAAGAAACGATAATCGTACGAATGCAGTCGTGCTATAAGTTATTGTGTATCTAGATTTATATGTATATGTATGTCATTGATAACACCCAACACGATGGAAGTCTGCGAGTTTATCGCAAGATGTACACTTAGCGATTATATTAGAAAGTACAACGTTATCGTAAATTCATTTGGACAAAGTCAAATTAAACTCGCGCGATTGTTTCACTATGTCCATTGGTGATTGTGATAAAACTGTTATGTCAGGTAATCATAGAGATTAGATCTTGAAAACGGCATTACTTACGTATGTTTTATTCTCCGAAAAAAAAGAACTTGGATAATCTGTTAATTCTCGGTATGATTGCATCACCAGAGCGACGTGCGAGCCAAACGACGATAATTTTGAAACATTTTAACCAGGTTAGATGGAAACACACGTATCAACGTGAAATTATGGAGATTGTTGCATGTTTGTCCGCTCATTTACAAGCTGAAGTTAGAACATTTATTTGCATATGCAACTCGATATATTGATTTATAAAGTTGGACATATATATATATATATATATATATATATATATATATATATATATAGAGAGAGAGAGAGAGAGAGAGAGAGAAGGGAGGATCTTGCGCTCGCGAAAATACTTCTCTCTAATAAAGTATGCGTATAATTTGAAATGAAACTATACATATTAGTCGATTGAAGTCAGTAAGTGAGACGAAACATAAAAGATGCTTGTTATTGCTTGAATTTTTATTAGCATTTATTGATTATATTATTTATGGAAGGTACTAAAGAATGAGACATGAGTATGTTATAAAGTAGCGAAATTATTTATTGTCATCATAGAGAATCGTAGTTTTGATATAATTTAGTGATGATAATATTAATAAGACTCGAGACATTTGTGTTTTTATTGTCAAATCGACGTGTAATCACGAGTTGCGAGTGTCAAGTTAGAATACCGGTGTTTCAATAGGAATCGGAATAAGTTTCTTGTAAAATTGCGACAATGCCTTAAGATCCAGTCCCTGCTCTAAGCATTTAGCGGTCAATTTGCGATAGGCTGCATGATTGTACAGATTGAAGACTAGTTCCTTCATTTTCGGAGACGTCACTTTCTTGACGAAATCGGAGAAGGCGTTAACGGTTTTCATCTTTTCGTCGTAAAGTGCATGCAATTCTTTTATAGGCGCCACAGCCACGAGTTCGTCGAGCATTGCTCGCAGTCCCTCACCGACCTCTTGCACTCCGATCTGAGACTCGAACCTGTTCTCTATGTTAGGTGGCACGTATTTATCCATACCGATAATTCGATGGAACTCTTGGATAACGTCTATTACATGAAGACCGGACTTTTCCAGGTGCACTATCAATGCTTGATGTTCTTTAAGGACCTCAACGTCATGCAGCAATGTGTGGAACTCAGGATTCATTACGTAGGCAAACGCGTTCTGTACCTTTTGATCATTGGTTAGGTATTTGACCGTTATTTCGACGAACTTATTCACCGGCATGATCTTCGTGAAGTCTCCAATCTCATCGATCAGCGAGCGTTCAAAAGCGAACGGCAGCGGATGCTTCGGTACAGTGATACCAAGAACAATGTATATGATGTCTGCTACGATTTGCGTTTTCACTCCGTACTGTTTGAGGCTATTCAGAATTAGCTGAAAGGATTTCGCCGAATAGACCTTGTTAACGATTTGTTGGAAATTATTTGACTTGAGCTGCCCTATGAAACGGACGAAGGCTTTGGAGGTTTGCATCTTCTGCACGTAGATTCGAATGAAGTCGTCGTAGTTAAAGAGTATCTTGATGTCTTTGAAGAATCCGTGGACTCCACCAGTCCTTTTTATGGGTTTCAAGGGATATGTGTAAGAAGCAGGAGGTATCAGTTCTTTGATACCGAAGACTTTGTTAATAGCATTTATTATGGTATAAATTTCGATGCCTTCCTTCTGCAAGAAGTTGAAAAGGTTGATCACTTCGGGAACGGCCTCGACGTCCACCATTAGATCTTTGAGCACATTCGAGGATGAAAGGCGCTGAAGGAACTCCTTGAATTCATTATCTTCTGCTAGGTAACTTAAGAAAACTTCAGCGACTTCTTCCATCGGAATCAAATCCAGAACGTCTTGGATATCCTCATGAAGAGGACCACTGCCAAAATTCGGGACTTGGTGAGTTTGGCCTAGGCCGATGATGGCCAAGACGGCAAATAGCGTTAATGTGAGCTTCATCTGCGAACATATTGCAACAAATTAATGTTGTATACCAGGTGTAGAAGTATGAAACCGGAATTCTTTTATACAAATAAGACGTCTGTTGTTCGAAAGTGATAAATAATACTTTATTCAAAATAATTTCCACTGTTTTGAACACATTTTTCCCACCTCTCTGGCAGTTTATGAATGCCGTGCCAAAAAAACTTTTCATCTTTTGAAGCGAACCAGTTATCTAGCCATTTTTCCACATTTTCATACGAATCGAAGCGTTGGTTAGCGAGAGCGTGTCCTAGCGATGCGAACAGGTGATAATCGGACGGAGCCAAGTCTGGAGAATAAGCCGCATGCGGTAGTAATTCCCAACTGAACGACTCGATCGTTTCCTTGACCCGTTTTGCTGTATGTGATGGGGCATTATCATGGAGCAAAATGACATTGTGTTGCCTTTTTGCATATTCTGGTCGTTTTTTAGTCAATGTTCGATTTAAATCGATCATTTGTTGTTGGTAGCGATTAGTATTGACGGTTTGACCAGGTTTCAGCAGTTCATAGTTCATAGTTCATAGTTCATAGTTCTTCGTTCCTCACGTCAAAATCACCACTTTTGAATTTTTTAAACCACTCGAAACACTGAGATTTACCAAGAGCATATTCACCGTAAGCTTCGACAAGCATTCGATGTGATTCTGCAGCAGTTTTCTTTAAATGATAACAGAAAATCAATGCTGTCCGCAAATCATAGTTAGTAGGCTCGAAACGTGACATGTTTAAGGTTATACAAAAATATACTAGAGAATGAAAGTTGGGGTTATGTTTGTTGACAATATTCGTCAGCTGTTAGGAGAATATAATAGCGCGGCAGTAGCGGTCTTACGGTCACTAAACTGAACGCTGGCACCATTTATAGGGGAATTCCGGTTTCATACTTCTACACCTGGTATAAGAAACGTATGCTTACGATACGCGTATGTAAATATTATACATGTTAAAAGAGAGAAATTAAGATATGTCACTTTTTGTTTGAACAGAATATTAATCTAAGAATCGATAGAAAGACATTAGCGTGATTTAATATCAAATAACTGTTGGGAAAAAAAGGGATATTCAATTACATATTTTTACTAAAAAAATAGATTCTAGGCTCGATTTGAAGAATTCATAGCTAATTCAGTGCAATAACGACAATCTTTACAACGATTTCACGTATTGCTAAAATTTTAGAAAAACGTATAAAAATTCCTCCTTCACTTACCGTGTCGACTACAGAAAAACACTGGCACCCGTCAGTAATTCCAGTCGTAAATTTATATAGTGAATGTGACGCGATATACATATGGATTAATTATAATATTAGAGTGGCTGATAAGATTAGCACAAGAGTTTGATATTCGAAAATATAAAGATTATTTGATGAGCTATCAAACATTGTAGATATGAAAATTTATATTACTTTCTCCTTTTATATACATTTTTTCATTTAAAGTAATGTGTTCAAACAGATTTTTTTTTACAGAAAGTTTTGCATTAATGTAATCGTATACTCTGTGATAAGCTTTATACATTTTTTTTAATATAGAAATGGTTTACTAAATGGTGAAATCTATATAAAACAAAAAATCAACGCTAGTTGGCAAAGCGACGAGCTGTATTTATTTATTAGAACTTTCACGTTTCACCATTTTGTTGATTAACCGTTTGATGTTTTGCAACATCCAAATGTGTGTGTATGTGTGTGTGTATATACACATTGATTTCACAATATTAATTTTTTTTTTTTTAATTAGGAGAAAGAGAAATAGTACATTTAGTATATTCGTATATTAATTTCAGTAATTTTTTGATGTAAAATATTCAAATTGAAAATGCGTTGTTCCGAGAAATCTTCCATCTATGATTAGGTAGAAATCACACGAATAATATGTTTATTAATAATTGTTATTTTCAAAAAGCTATCAAAGGAATTAGAGAAGAGTAATGTAACATTTTTAGGATGACTATATTAAAAGTGAGATGGCCGAGATGGCAACAATTAATGTCAAGGTGTCAGTTTTAAATTTTATCATAGTTTGCATTAAAACAAATGATTAGTCAATATTTGTTGTCAAATACAAAAAAATCAAATGAAATAATCAATTTCGTTGGACGTCAAATCGAACTCGTTACGGCGTGAATTATATGCGCCAATAAATATATATATATATATATATATATATATATATATATATATATATATATAATATGAGATTTTATGTATTTTATGTATTTTTTAAATTTGTAGATATTAGTATTCTATATATATATTTTTTTTTTTTTTT